GTGTGTGTGGGTGTGTGTGTGTGTGTGTGTGTGTGTGTGTGTGTGTGTGTGTGTGTGTGTGTGTGTGTGTGCGTCCATTCAGGGGAAACGGCATTTATTACCTCTCACGCCATCTGAGAGACGAAAGTTTGTGGACCCCTGGAGCCCCAAAATTCACCCTGAAGAAATCAAAGAAGTGGTGGGCTCACCTCGCACGCTCACACACACGCACACATGCCTGCATGTATCATTCATTGTGTGCGTGTGCAGCTGTCAAGTGTCATTCAGGTTTTGTCGGTGCTCCTTCTGGCATTGGTCCTGCTGACGGTGGACGTGTCAGTCTTTCGTGTACTGGACGTGGTGAGCAAGCACACGCATACCACCTTCAACGTCACGAGTAAGACATCCGCGCGCGCGCACGGCTCCTTCAACTTGACCCGTAAACACAAACTCCCGGGCATGTTGCGTAAATGGTGCACATGGTGGGCGTGGCCTTTTTTCAGGCAGCCAGCAGGTGGACATAAAAGTCGGCGGAACCTCAATGATGGCGCGCCTCTTGCGGAGGACGTTTTCCGCCTTCAACACATCGTCGAGGGTTCGCATCGTATCCGACAACCAGCGTGAGTCAGTTGGGGGTCAAGGGTCACACAGAGTGATGATCGGCGCCTAAATGAACTTGCACCGCCCCCTCTCATTCTCTCTCCTCCACAGGCTGCGTGACTACGCCCTCCTCCCTGGCCGCCTCTGCGTACATCAGCGTTGCCTGCTGCCTCCTGCTGGCAGCGCTCTTCAGCTGCCTTCAGGTTTACGCTAACCGCCTGCGGAGGGTCATCGCCGCCTTCTACCACCCCCGGGTAACGCCCCCTTATCATCCCTACATCCATCCATCCATTATCTGATCCGCTTCTCCTCACGAGGGCCGCGGACGTTCTTGGAGCCTATCCCAGCTGTCTTCGGGCAGTAGGCCGGGGACACCCTGAACACCCTGAATTGCGGTGCACACATTAACAAACGGCCATTTGCGCTCACAATCAAACGTTGGGATGATTTGGGGGGTTCAATCAACCTACTGTGCATGTTTTTGGAATGTGGGAGGAAATCGAAGTACCCGGACAAAACCCATGTAGGCACTGGGAGAACATGCAAACCCCACACAGGAAGGTCGGGGCCCGCAATTAAATCCACGACCTCTGCCGACGTGCTAACCAATCGACCATCGTGCCGCCACTACCGGAGTATTTGTTGTCTTCCTGAGGTTAGGCTTGCGTCTTGGGCCTGTGTTCCACGTGAAAGTGGACAAAACGTCTGTGTCAGCTCCTCGGGTCCTTTTTGCATTAATACAAGCACTCTTTGTTTGCGGCAGCTGCCGATGTCACTTCCTCTTACATAGTGATGAGCTAGCAAAGTGTAAGACTTCAACACGTACACACGCGGTCCAGCTAAGCCGATCAGGCCAATGAAGTGCACTTCCCCGTGATTGAGGAGAGAGCGTTTCCAACCAAACTCAACATGTGACGTCATTCATCTCAACTTAGCTTTATTTGGATTTGGAGTGATTTCTCTCATCTAATCTTTATTTCAAAACAACAACTGCGGCTGTGACAAAGTTCTGCGCCTCATCAAGATCTGACATGACACACATAAACTAAAAACAATTCTTAGAATGATGATAAAGAAATCAAATATGCTTTTCTAAGTACAATAGACTGATTTTAAAAGAGTCCTGCGTGTATTTGACCAAAAAAAAATAATTATTTATTCTTAGTATTATTATTGTATGTCACAGTCCTTAAATCGGCCATATGCTGTCCCGCCAGCGACCTCCGGGTGGTGTCAAAGTGGATGGTGTTATGGTCAGACATGGATTATGATGCCAATTTAATGAATGCTCTTTGTTTGCGGTGTGGGGAAGGCCTCATTTTTGCATTTTTCAAAGCACAGCATGCAAACAGTGACAATGAAGAAAAGCAACGTGCTTTGCCATCTGCTGTTCTTCATTGAACCCTTTCGTTGAAATGATACTTTGACTGGCTCTCAAGTAGTACTGTAATTATTTTTGCCCTGTCAAAATATGCCCCAAACCACATGAAAAGCTTACACGGTAACCCAAATCTCTTCTGTCATAATACTGAGCCAATTAAGTCATTCATAGTAACGCCAGTCTTCCCCCACTAATGTGATAAACCGGTATTTATCCTATTTTAAAAATAATTTTGTAAGGGTTGACCTCCACTGTGAATAGCAAAAAAAAGTAAAAAAAAAACTCCCAAAGGTTTAGTTTTGCCCACAAAATGACGCCAATGTATTACTGAAGGTTGTGGCTTGACGAAATGAAGCCCCGCCTACTCACATCAATTAATTTCTTGGTGACATTTTGGGGGTCACCGTTGGCACTGTCCGCTGTCTGAGTGACCTTGGGCAGGAAGCCGCTCCCGGGGGGCCTGCTTGAATGCGTGCGTGAGTCAAGATGAAGCCAAGCGTCTCCGCTGCACATCGCACATTTTGTCTTTTTGTCTTCCAGAGGGAGAAAACCCGAATCTTGTTCTTGTACAACCTCAGTCTGCACAGAAGAATGTTGTACAGGCCTACGTGCAACCAACAGGCCCGCACAAACGTACGCAAAGGCACTCAAAATTCTGCACGGCGCAACCGACTTCTCACAAAAGGGTGTTCAATCGTGTGTGTGTGTGTGTGTGTGTGTCCACAGGTGATGGAGTATTTATCTCGGCTGTGTCGGAGACGGCGGGAAGCGTCGAGGTCTGAGGTTCAAAGTGTGTAGAATGTATGAAAAGACCAAAGTCGCATTAAACTCGTTTCAAATGTCAAAGGTCAAATGTCATGTTAGCACATACAAAACACAAAAAAAGTACGTGTGGGCTTAATGCACGCTGATGATGTCACTGAGATCAGTTTGCTGGCAGCACACGTGTGACAAACTGCGAAACTCCAGCAATTGAAAGAATCCGTGTGCTTTTATTTTGTAGCCCTTTTGTGTGGCTTCCTGGAAAGTGGACTAACTTGACTCGGTGGGTGACGTCACCCCTCGGGTCCGTTATAAACACGAGCGAGTTGTCGGCTCGCGACGCGACTTTACGTGGACGTGGCGAACTCGAGATTTGTGTTTTGATGGATGCGCGCCACACGCGCAAACCTTAAACTTCCGCTTGGGACGCGGCTGGACGACGCGTGACGGAAGACAGACGAAACTTGTTCCGTCCAACGGATGTGGCACTCCACAAACATGGTGGCTCGTCCACACGCTGACCGGAAGTCAGCCATGGCAGCGAAATGAAACAACTTTTGCCGCCACTTTTGATCCTGCTGATCGGCGCCGGCGGGGCGTTCACGGGCGCCCGGACCCAGAACGCAACGCCGCCGCCCCGACACCATCTCGCAGGTACAGCGCACGCACCCGGCGTCACAAAGAGGAGCAGAGCTAAGACTAGATCAGGTCAAGACTAGACACGTCACGTGCTATTACTATCAGTCAGGTAGGAGAGGTCAAGTGTGTGTGTGTGTGTGTGTGTGTGTGTGTGTGTGTGTGAGAGAGAGGGAGGGAGAGAGAGAGAGAGTGCGTGTGTGGGTGTGCGAGCGCGCGCGGGTGTGTGTATGTGTGTATGTGTGTGTGTGTATGCCATAAGAGATTTACGTGTGCTACAACAAAACGTGTGTGCGTGTGTGCGTGTGTGTGTGTGTGTGTGTGTGTGTGTGTGTGTGTGTTAAGCGGTTTAAGTGTGTTAAAACAAACTGCGTCAAGAGGTTTAACTGTGTTACAACAACACAAAACAGGTTGTGTGTGTGTGTGTGTGTGTGTTTATACAGTTGATATTAAAAGCCTACACACTATTGTATGTGTCTTTTAATGGATCATGAGTCTGCTGAAAAATGATTGATTAATTGAAATAATTTCCCTTTTCTGCGAAGTGTGGAGACTCTCTAAGGTTGTGGCTGTGTTCACAATTAACTAATCACATTCAAACTCATGTTAAATGCCGCTAATGACATTCAAATAAAATCCAGATGTTCTAGTAGGCTTTTGGGGTGGGTGGATGGGGTTCTAAGGGTTTAGCAGACTTCTGTTAGCCACTCTACTATCGTGTCAAAAGTGTGCCAAGTGTGTGTGGGCGTTGGTATTGCTTTCAGGTATTGTGGAATGGCGGCGCCCCCTGCTGGGGAGGACTCAACCTTTTGTTCTGGTCGGCGGGCAGAGGCGGAGCCTGAAGGAGGCACTCCAGGTCAGTTTATTCAAGGCTATTCACATTGATTTTATTTGACGTGTGTGTGTGTGTGTGTGTGTGTGTGTGTGTGTGTGTGTGTGTGTGTGTGTGTGTGTGTGTGTGTGGGGGAGAGGGGGGGGGGG